CTCTCTCAGTGCAGTGTTAATGTACTGTAGTGTCCAGTCAGTGTGTCTGGACTGTATTAACCCCTCTCTCTCAGTGCAGTGTTATATACCGATCTCTCTATCAGGATCGCGGGCAGCAGGGTTCTGGTTCACTGTAAGATGGGGGTGAGCCGTTCAGCCTCCACAGTGGTGGCATTTGTGATGAAGGAGTATGGCTGGTCACTCGAGGACACCCTGGGCCACATCCGAGAGAGGAGGCCCATCGTCCAGCCCAACGCAGGCTTCCTCAAGCAGTTGGCCACCTACAGTGGGATTCTGCAGGCCAGGTGAGCTGTGTTTGTAGCATGACTTTCTGCTTCGTTAGATACTCTCTTTTAAAATGTCTCGGATATTTAAAGAATCTGCTGTGCAATATCTTGAGTCACTGTTTACTTGTGTGCTAAGTATCGTGTTTGTATACTGTATCATCAGATGCACAGCCCTGGAAGTACAGATGTAGCCATTCAAAATGCGCTGTAAAAGCCTATACCGTTGGTTTCGGGCTGCAGTCGGCCGCGGTATGTGATTTGCAGACCAAAGATGATCCCCAGGTGGCACTTCTGGAGCATTAGTTGTTAGTGAGACGATTGCTTCATTTAATCTCTCTACTGTGCGTGATTAAATTCGCTTAATATGGAATTTTACAGCTAAAGGGAAATTTTGGTAGCTGGGCATAAAAACAACAGGAGCACAACGTCTCTGAACGTCATATCGTCATGTACGATATTTATGTAGGAATATAAAGATACGATGCCTGCTGTACTGTATGGCCTCACACTGCGGCCTGTCCCAGTTTCCTGTCTGTGAATCTGCACTGTGTCAGCGCCTCTGTTGCCCCGTTTCTCCCCTCAGCAAGCAGCGCCACAGCGCCCTCTGGAGGAGGAAGTCTCGGGAGATGAGAGGGCTCCCCCTGCAGGGCGGGGAAGGCAGCGACTCCGAGAGCGAAGAGGAGGGGGAGGTGGAGAAGGACAGAGAGAGTGAGGGGGAGGGGGAGT